TTAAAAAGGGAGCTAAGGCCGGGCTTGGTGGCTCAGCCTGTAATCCCACGCTCTGGGAGGCCAAGGTGAGTGGATCGCCTGAGCCCACGGGTTCAAGACCCGCCTGGGCAACTTGGCGAGACCTCATCTCTACAATAAATCAAAAAATTAGCCGGGGGTGGTAACGCGCGCCTGTAATTCCAGCTACTTGGAAGCCTGAGGCGGAAGGATCGCCGGAGCCCAGCAGGTCAAGGCTGCAGTGGCCGCTCCCGGTTCAGTATGGGCAACAGAGTGAGACTCCAACTCAAAAAAAAAAAAAGGGAGCGAAAGTACTACACAAGCTGGTCAAAAATTTTACCAACCCAATGAGTAAATCAATAATTTGCAATTGTTAGGGTATATTCAAGCCATAAAACAGCACAAAGAAAAAGTATTTATTAAGCATTAATTACGTATAAGGCATTGTGTTTAAAAACAAAGAATCAAAACATGTATCATCCCCAAAATCACGTTGTGTTCATCATGGTGTACTAAACCAGAAAAACAGGAATGTTTGCAATGAAAATGATTGAAATAAAATATATTTCTGGTTTAATCCAGTTAGTCAAAAAGTCTAAATATAGTAACTTGATCTTCCAGGGTTCCAGTTAATCATTTCTTTTTTCTTTATGGAGGGATGCTCAAGGTAAAGCTTGGAAGGAAGGGAAGAAAAAACTGAGCTGAGTGTGGTGGCTCACGACGTAATTCCAACACTTTCAGAGGCCACGGCAGGAGGACTGCATGAGTTCCCAGAAATTCAAAACCAGCATACACAACATGGCAAGACCTCATCTCTACAAAAAGTAAAAAAAAAAAAAATCAGCCAGGCATGATGGCACACACCTGTAGACCCAGCTACTCAGGAGTCTGAGGAGGATTGCTTGAGCCCAGGAGTTCAAGGCAGCAGTAAGCCGTAATTGTGTATTCCAGTCTGGGTGACAAAGAAAAACCTCGACTTTAAAAAAAAAAAAAAGAAGAAGAAAAAGAACAAGTTGGTAACAAACAATTTAAAACAGAAACCTCAAGGAACAGTATGACAGGCTAAAAAAAAACTGTCACAGTAGAAGAGGCAAGTAGGTTTAATGAATGTGTTGGAAAGGGGTGGAGCTATATGTCTAATGTCCAAATTAACCACTAACTTTCAGTATACTATCCAAATCCAAAAGAAACCATTTTAGCTTTTTCTTTCTTGAGCAGTCCTCTTTGGAAATATTGATATCTTATAATTTACAGTGTTTCTTAGAGATCTTCAAACAAAGAAGGAGATTTACTTACTGGTTGTTGTTTGCTTTGTTTTGTTTTGTTTTTTGAGGCAGGATCTCACCCTGTCGCCCAAGCTGGAGTGCAGCGGCATGAACATGGCCCACCATAGCCTTGATCTTCTGGGCTCGGACGACCCTCCCATCTCATCCTCCCCAGTAGCTGGGACTATAGGCATGCACCACCCCACCTTGCTATGTTGCCCAGGCTGGTCTCACACTCCTGGGCTCAAGCAATTCTCTCACCTCAGCCTCCCAAAATGCTGGGATAATGGGCATGAGCCATTGAGCCCAGGCTACTTACTGGTTTTAAATAGACTGAAACTTATTCTGCCTTATAATTATTATGTGGATCTGTAACAATCTTTTCATAAATCTAAGATATGTTATGGGATCTTGGTGATTTCATTTTTCCTATATCCTGAAATATTTTGCTAATTCTATTATCCTAGGTATTATTTTACCATTGCTCATTAATCCCAACTATGCTAAAAAGAAAATGGCAGAGTAACTCAATTGCCTAGAATAATTGTGCAATAGTGAAATAAATCAGGACTAATGCATTATCCTTTGCATTTCTTACTATTTTTCCAGTTTTCTTATTGTTTTGCTCAAAATATTGCATTAACTTTCAAAGAGGCATAGAAGACTGAAGGCATCTTTGTAGTCTGTGTCAGAGAGGAAAAACCTTCTACCCTTTTACGTTCAGTATCTAGGGTCCTGTGAATTAAACTAAGAAAAGATTAGCAGAAGGAAAGGCAAAATTTTTGTTAATATTTACATGCACAGGAGTTCACAGAAAAGAAGTGAAACTCAAAAGAAGTAGTTAGGCTCAAGGGTTTTTATGCCACTTGAACATCAAGAAAAGGAAATTTGAGATATGAGGGACAATAAACCATGAGGAAGTGACTAGGAAATATATGGTTGAACTAATGGAAGACAAGAATTATTCAGTAAACAATGTTTATGCAAATTCATCTCTGTGTTGACTCTCCACCTCAGGGGAAAAGAGTTGCACATCCCTCCCTGTTGCGGGGTAGTGGGGAGGGTGGGTGGAAGAAAGAACACCTACAGAAGGAAATTTATGCCCTGCTCTTAGGCAGATCAAGGGAGGACAAAGAACTCTTCCTGCATCTGTTGACTCTCTTTTGTATTCAGCTCAAAATAATCTTTATAATAACATGGCATATTTGGGGATGGTATGTCCTTGAACCCCTTCACCTGCTTTTAGTTTCACTGAATACAGTTAAGAACTTGGAATTTTTTATTTTCTGTCCATAATAGAAGAAAACTAACAGAGGAAAGCCACAATTATTAGATGAGTCTGAAGATGAGCACAAAGATAAATAGCAGCATTTTAGACTCTAATGATGACAGTAAAATTGACCATATTAGGGAAATCTCAGACTGAGTCTTCAGTTGAGTTATCCAAGATAAATTTTCTCAGACTCAACAATCAGTGAAAGAACAACAGAATTCTAAAAGCAAAAAGGAAATATGGTATTCTCATTATGCAAATTATGAACAATCAAAGGTTTCAAAAAACTCTTCTAGTATTGCACTTTGGTGATGCACATGCAAAAAGACCCCCAAAAGGAATGTTAAGTTAGAACCTATCAGGAAAGCATTAGAAATGTAGAATCAATAATTACAAGATCAATAGCTCCAGGGTCATTGATGAAAGTTCGTAAGTACAGATGGTCCCTGACTTAAAATGGCTCACTTATGATAATTTTTCAACTTTACAATGGTATGAAAGAGCATTCAGTATAAACCACACTTAGAGTGCTCACACAACCATTCTGTTTTTCAATTTCAGTATGGTATTCAATAAATTACATGAGCTATTCAACACCTATTATGTAATAAGCTTTGTGTTAGATGAGTGTGCCCAACTACAGGCTAATGTAAGTATTCTGAGCACAACTGAGATAGATAAGTTAACCTATGACATTCAGTAGGTTAAGAGTATTAAATGCATTTTTAACTTACAATGAGTTTTTTGAGCTGCAACCCCACCATAATTCAAGGAATATCTGTAGTTAATTGCATTTAGACGACATTACCCATTTTGAAGGTCCCTAGAAAATATGGAATAAAAGTCTGGGCAACATGTGAGAGTGAAACATCATAATCTTCGGACATGCGGATCTACATACACTCAGGAAAAGGGTGACAGGAGAAACAAGAGTAACAAATATTATAAGAATTAACAGAAGAGCCAGGCTCGGTGGCTCAGCCTATAATCCCGCGCCTTTGGGAGGTTGAAGTGAGTGGATGGCCTGAGCCCATGGGTTCGAGACCCGCCTGGGGAGTAAGACTTCATCTCTACAATAAATCAAAAAATCAGCC